TGCCACCCCCCCCCCCCCAAAAAAAAGCAAGATTACCCAATGCAGCACTCATTTCGCCGCCCCCAAAATGACCAAAACAACAAAAAATGCCAGAATGAACTTGAACAAAAGGGGTTCCGAAATGCCCACACACTGCAGTAGTAGCACAAGCAGCAGCAGTAATAAAAATGCTACTTGCACTAAAAAGTTTGTCCGGCTGCTCACAAGCCAGTCCAGCAGCTATACACCTCTTGAAACAAAAACCTGTGATTGTTGATATATCAATCCACCTCCCTCCTTTGCATTTACAAACCAAGGACTTCTTTGAACTTTTCTATTGACTCACCCCCACGGTAAAATCCAGGCAATGCTGGGAACCATTGCTGAAGTAGGACTGAACTCAAGCCTGCTCCGCGAGCTTTGTGAGCATCAGCTGAGGCTGCAGCCCGCTCTCTGCTAGTTCGGTATCAGCCGCATGCTGCAGAAAACAGCCAGTCGACTCAGCCAAATCTTCTACTTCATGTCGACCGAGGTATGTTCTAGGGGCTACGGCGGCTGTCGCAGCCGGCAAGGCCTTTAGCAGCTGTCGTATGTTGCCACTGGATCAGTGGAACTCGACAAGTTGAGAGTCTGCCATTGCACATACATGTTCAAAAACTAACTGGCTCACAAAGGGTTTGGCTCACAGTGTAGATTTAGATGCAGGGCTTGGCGTACTGGAGGTCATGTCATGCAAACCAGCGTCCGAAGAAAGTCTTCGGTTCAGGAACTTGTGCGCTGTGTGCTGGATTTGATGGCTTGCGGGCCGAGCGAGTTCGCAACCAAGGACACACCTTAAAAAGAAGCTGCTGCACCTGCGGGTGACTTATACCCTGATGAAGGAGCTAGCAGCTAACACCCTAATCCTGGTAGGTGATCAGAAGCAACCCTTCACAGCGTTAGTGCGTCCTGCACATGACACAATACTTGCGTATCCTTCCATACAACTGCAATCCATAGCCACGGCTCACGGGACACGTCCAAACTGGGGCAGAACCTCTTCTCCATTGGCAACTTCAATCTTCACCTCCGCAAGGCCATGCTTTGCATGCTCGCTGTTCCCGCAGGCTCACTATGCTGCGGATACGCTACGAGTAGAATTGAGTAGAACAACGAATAAGCTAAGCTACGACTGAATCCCACACGCGTGCACACACACACACACAAACTCCGGTGTCGATTCCGAGAACTCAAGTACGTATGCAGCAGTGGGTGCCAGCGGCACGATGTGTCCAGCACATCGTCTAATGCATGCCTGCCCGAATCTAGCGCGCGAAAACTGTGGTGATGAAGTTAAGAATTTCAAACAACGCTCCGTCTCGCTAGAACGGATTCAATGTTTGCACTGTATGTGTGCAACTTGTGTCGACAACACATAACACATGCAGACGTCCCTGTATACATGTATGTCTGCATCCTATCTATATACCATATAGCTGAAGTGCACTGCGCTTTCTCTATCTATTCTATATCTATCGACCTGTTTACGTGCATATACTGCTTGCAGCTTGCATGTATACGTCCCTCTGTTTGTCTTTCTATCTGTCTGCCTGTCTGCCTGTCAGTCAGTCAGTCAGTCGGTCATTCAATCAGGGTCATGCATAAACAGGGTCAGTTTCAAGATTTAAGGTCCAAGGCCCAGGTGGATCTGAGCGGTCTGAGCGTTCCACCCTTCCCTTCTGTCTCCGCTAAGCCGCTAAGTCCAAAAACCAACCAGGGAAGCAATCGCGCTTGCAGCAAGAAGCGAAAACAAACACAGAATGCAAAAGGCAACATCCAATCAGACGATCAACAAACCAACAAGGCGCGAACTGAGACAGCATGCGATGCAAATGACAAACCCACACTCCTCGCAGATCGGACAGGGTACAAAGCAAACAACACATCCCTAGTTGCAGCACATACCTGAACACGATCGGCCAGGTGTAGATGCAACTGCTACAGCCAGCGGGGGTCTTTGCCGCTTTCTTCTTGACATCGTTACACTGGACATGGAGAGCGGCTAACTCGGCTCGAGTCGTGGGAGATTCTGGGACCTTTATCCATGACTGTCCCCCGCAAAGCAGCTACGCCCGGCAACCCATGCACAGTCACCTCGGGCATGTAGATTTGGCATTGGCGCAGAACCCACAAACAGGAGACGCACGGTGAAGTCGACCTGGTCTATGCCAGCTGGGGCAACATACCAACAGAAGACATGTTGAGCTGCTGCCCCATGCTTGATCACATGAACTGGTGCGGTAAACTGGAAGCACTGCACACCGACGTCATTTTTACCTCACGGCATCATTTGCATCAATTCGCTTTTGCGAGGTGATGCGTGTTTGCTCGGCATCTTAAAACCATGCGGAACCTCGTGTCCAATCTGCATCGCAGGTTGCAAGGCTCTCCTGGCTTGGTGGGATTCTGACATCCATAAAGCTGCGAACCTCTCCACAGCTGAACTCTGCTTGCTTCGTGTGCCGGACACTGTCATTCTCGCAGGATCAAAATGCGTGTCCGACGTCGGGAGCTCGTCATGATGAGGGCTCTCATAGAACTTGGCATCAACGTGACACACTGAAGCAGGCTTGAACAAAATAATTCTGGTGCACTGCAGCACAGCATGCGAGGGGCAGGTTGAAACAACAAAAACTTCTCGTGCAGGCTTTTTATTTTGATCCTATGCTGCCTTCTGTCCACTTCAAAGAAAGCTTCACGATCCTGCGCCCCTAGTCACATAGTCTTGACAGAGATATCACGATCTGCTGCAGATTGAATTCACATAGGCTCGTTTACAGGACGAGACTTCACAGCCATTATCTGGCACAATGGACTCGCAGGCTGTGCTGTAGAAAAAGGAAAGGAAAAACACTTCGCACGACTACAGTGGAGGCATGCAGACTAATCGTCTGCAGGGCGCAAGTTGCAGGGACTGCGGCTCCATCTCGCGAGTTGCTGATCTCACATAAACAGAGGCCATGCTGCACTCAGATCTTACCACACCGGTGCTTTTGGCAAGTTGGCCTCTGCCTCTTCCTCTGGCACTTCCTCTGTCACTGGCAGGTTTGCCTCTGCCTCTTCCTCTGGCACTTCCTCTGTCACTGGCAGGTTTGCCTCCGCCTCTTCCTCTGGCACTTCCTCTGCCACTGGCACGTTTGCCTCCGCCTCTTCCTGTGCAGGACATCCATGTGATGTGTAGCTTGCTGGTAAAGAGAACATGTCAGCCTACGTAAGAAATACTTCGATTCTGCATCGGGTGCTTTAACAGGTCACCGAAGACTCGAAAGGCATGGAACATTCACGGCTGCTGACTACCATGGGGCGAGATTGGCCTGTCCGAACTGCGAAGCGCATGCAGCACTGACTGGTGAAATAGTGACAACACTTTGTTTTCGAATACGAGGTGCCCGAAGTTGCGAGGTGAATTGCTTGAGTCTATCACCCTATTCCACATGCACCCTACAATCAGTCAAACTTGCCTTCATGGGAGTCGCACCGCATCCGAGAAATGAGTAGTGCAATGGCAATATATCACACTCCCTGGTCCGTCTGACTGCTAGCCTACCGGCGCATACGGCTACACCTGTGCACACAGGCACAGTCCTTGCACATGCGCCGGAGACACGAAGACACTTCATGGAAAACTGCTTATTCACTAGCCGCATCGACTGCTGCCGAGAGTCTCCAAACTGCTGCGTTTCGGACGGAGACCCTGCATCGCAGTAATACGGCAGCTGCCATGCCTGGAGAACAATTAGGGTGTCGGTGCGTCCACGAGGGTAACAAAGGCCAATGTCATGCACGAATGTCACCCAGGAGCAACCATAGCATCCGTCGCCGGGCTGACAAAAACTCCGTACTTCCCTGAAATAGCCACCTGCAGAGACAGGATGTTGTCGCGTTCCATCGCGCGGAATCACCGCGGGAACATGCAACTGCATGCAGTACATACTTGTGTTTTCTCGGTCCGGAAATTCCCCGATCAAACAAACATCAAGACAATTGGTCCTTTTAGGCCCCATGTGCTGACGTCAAAACTGCTTAGGGAGGGAGGAAGTAGTTGTCCTAAAACTCGAGCGGCTGTAGATAACTGCGTAGTGGCGGGCTCATGATAAGGTCCAGTAGAAGCGGCAGGGACAAGGTGCTCCTACTGTGAGCCGAGGACTCAACGCTGTCAACTGAAAGCCCGGTGGCCGTCTCGATGCCGTTCTGTTTGGAGTTGTCCTTGGCTGTATCGGACTGTATCGGAAAGCACAGGGTGCAATGAAGTAGTGGGGTGCTTCTACATTCCCCAACCGGGCCAGCTGTCCACGGCGACCTATCACTCTAGTTACAACTTCGACAGCTTATGGCAATATCGCTGTTTGACGGGAAGTTCGACCGCTCATGTGGGAAATGGTTTCCCATCAAAACACTTAAGTTTGGCATTAGATCTTCCAGCTTCAACATGCTGTAACATGCCCCGTTACTGGCCCACTCCTGTGTCACTGCCCCCACTGCAAGATGTCACGCTGAGGTCCGAACCTTCAGCGTTCCAACGTAGCGAGGTACCCGCGGGTCGCGGATGTCAATGACGGTAAGGGCGTCGTTGTAGGCACTCGCCACGTATGCAAAGCGGCCTCGAGACTGTGACTTCGGCCGAGGATCCTGAAAAGAACAAGCTCTGATCGACTGTTCTGAGTCTGCCCCAGGCACAGTCGACAGCAACGTGGCTTGCCATGTCCGCAGTTGCGCGTTCCACAACGGAGACAAGAAGAGGATTGCGAATGTCCGAGATATCAATAACCTGGGTGTCGGGCTTGGCCACAGTTCGGAGCCATGAAAAAAGTCAACCTACATCGATTACATGAAACTCGCCGCAGGACAATCGACTTAGAACAATTCACCACGTGCAGAGCCACAACGTGCTTCCATTTACGACGACTCGTTCGAATGCGGCTTTTCCCGGCTGTGTTTCATTCAATGATCTGAGGTGACCGCAGAAAGTGCGTTGGGCGTGGCACTGGCGACCTTGGTGGCAGTCTTCATGCAGGTTCGACTAGGTAGTCACTGACAGGTCGAGTGTACAGCTGTCGTACCTGCGTGGCCAAACGAGGGGCTAGACATACGTGAGAGCAGCATCATAGTCACTGTGCCGAAACTCTTCATGGCTATTCCGTCCTAACTCGCCCGCATGATATCACGTAGCTTAAATGCACGTCTGCGACATAGGCATACTTGCCCTGCACGACGACGCATCGTGCTTCTCGCAGGCTTGGAGCATCTTTGAGAACGCCTTGGCTAACCAACGGTGTCTGGAATAGATGCCTGACAGACATCTTAGAGTCTTAGGTCACGTTTTGGCGCAAACTGCAGCCCTGCTCTGCGTCCAATTTCAATCAGAACGAACTGCTTCAGCGGCCCGGCAGCTGTATTTCTGCGGCGACGCTGGGTTCGAGACATCGACGATGACCAGCGCATGGCCGGAGGAGCTCGCGACAAGCACGAAGTTGTCTTAGCAATTATTGCGGCACTTCGTGCATGTCTCAATTTGCCTCCTAGTGCTGCTACTGTCGGACACGCAACTTTCATGTTCTTGGGTGAAAACATTGTGACCAGTGCCTGTTCTACAGCATGTCCAAGTTCCTGCCCGGTCTGCTTGCATGAATCGTTCCCCACTTTTCCTAGACGCTTACATATTTTCATCATCATCTTTGTAGGCATTAGGCATTAGACGAGGGCCCCTTCCACATTTCCATCGCCTTGGGGGTCACAGTCACACCGTACCAAGCGACGGAGATTGTCTCGGCCGCACAACGATGCACAACGCAGTCGCTCGGCTCCCACCCTTCCCGCACAGCTTCTATCAGCAGGGCCTGCATCGGAGCTTTACCTCCTGCCCATGCCGCGCAGTTCGGCTTAGGCAAGGAACGCGAGATTGGGCAAACGCTGGTAAATCAGTCCATGATACAAGCTCCGCTCTGCTCTCATTTCTGCCCATGCTCTGCCTTCTCTCTTTCATCTCCCCCCCTGCTTTCACTCGACAACTGCCCTTGACCAGCGCCGACATCCACGACGACACCCGCCCCCAGCACGTGTTTCGCTTGTATCGAGCCCAGGTAACCAAAAACGTCGATGCCGGTCGGAAACTGCATGTCATCAGCATCGTGGTACGCTCCTGAGGCCAGCATCCGGCGTCTGCACGCAGACCCAGAAGCGCATTAGTTGGTTGCATGGGTTGCCCACTGCCAGCCTCTAAAGTACAGCCTGCTACTGCAGACGCATTCTGTGCCTACAACTTTGTTCCAATCCTGCCTGGCAACTGCAGATACATAGCGCCGCCTAGCGCAAGCCGAACATGAAGTAACGAGCCCCCTGTGCCTGTTAAAGTCATCTGCGCAGGCTGGGAGATGTCGATAATGGACAATGTGTGCGAATAGGTGCCTTCCGGGCAGCTGCCACAATGCTATGCTACGTGCACTCTCAAGCATCCAGAAAGCAAGATTCACAACTGCAAGCACGCGGGTCTCAAGCTCAATTGTCTCAATCCCCGAGTCTTCTCACAAGGCTGCCGGCAGGAAATCGCATTGGAATGCGGATCTTATTCTGGATTCCAGGGGTCGAGGCCGGCGCCTGCGACAAAGGCATACATTCCCTTCACAACGACGGCCCGGGCACCGCTGAGGGCCACTTTGTCCTCAGCTGCTGAGGTCTAGGCTTCCTCTAATTCGAGGCTAACTCTGAACATTCTACAGCTCAATAAAAGCAACTGGAACGGCTTCGCGCATCGGATTAGTTAAATAGGAATGAGAAGTGAGGCTATTGCAACTGGTATCTTACCGGCATGGAACATAGCACTGCCTCAGCCTTGGCAGTCACCCTAACTAGGTTGCGCATGCTTGGATAAGACCAGAAACACCAATACAAGTTAGCCATCTGATCTCGCCACCAAGATGCCTGCAAAGACCCCACCACGCGCATGTTTGCCTCTGCAGGTCTCAGCCACTGAGCACTAGTTGCCCAAATCGTGTAGGAGAACTGCCAAAAATCCGGCTGATTTGCTATGGCAAAAGTAGTCACTGATCGCACTTCAGTCCGCTAAACGAACAGCACAGCTCCCCACATCTCCCGTCGACGAGCCGGGTCAGAGACGTCGATGGCCGTCACCGTAGCAGAGTTCGAAGCAACCACAAAGGCATGGTGGCCACCTTCACCTTCTTCGCTTAAAGCGACCGCGCGCGCCTCTGGCCGAAACTGTCTTGTGAGCTCTAACTTCCAATAGATGTACTTGGAGCATGTCTGTGCATGATAGCATTACCAGCCGGTCATAAAGGTTCAGCTACCAAGCCGAAGAGCACCCCGTCTGCGACGATGTACATCTAGATACCTATCTATCTGTTTATCTACAGTATCTACGTGTCTAGCTATCAATCGATCTACTGTATCGACCTGCTTATCTATCTGTCAATCTTTTTGGTTTCATATAATCTGTAGCTTGCTTTGTATGCGCATGTGTATATACATATGTATCTCTCTCTCTATATAATATATATAT